TCTTTCAGTCTTCATACTATGTTTCACTAAACAAATCACAGGTTAAGAGGCAGTGTGCTGGAAATACCCTCCTTTATAAATGTAAAACAAGATGGCCCTAGGTTGTATGAATAAGAATATGACCATGTAAATTAGATAGAAGACACTTTTCCATTTACCAGATACATACTGTACAACTGATAACTGCAAAGTGCCAGGGAGGACACTAAGAAGTAGGTCCAGGCTTTACCTGCTTTTTAAAACTAAAGGCCTTTATGCAGGTTGGCCATCAGGCATGTCTCCTGACCCCTGCCGACCAGCACAGGCAGCACATGTGTAGGAATTCCAACTTTGGAGCTTATATCACACGAGGTGATTCCTGGCTGCCCAGGCCATTGACTCCCAGCTTCCAGAGACATAATCTTCACTAAATCACAGTGCACAAGAAGCAAAACCATGATGCCACCCCACTCCCACCCCAGGGGACCGACGGCTGAAGATAAGGAGCAGCTACCGAGCACAGCCTCTCTGCCGAGGAAGGGGGGCGGCTTGGGAGAACTCAGCATCCACCCCGTTCCGGGAGATCCACAGGATCCTCTGCCCTCCCGCTTGTTTTCCTTGACGGGACCAGCATCCTTAACTTGCACTTTCTCTCCAAAAGCCCTCTCCTCCTGTCCCTCTAGACTTCCACAACCATGGCACTCTGTCTAGCTAAGTCCTATTTTTCCTTCAGGGGCTCTGTTCTGACGTCACTTTTTAAAGTTTGTTTGTTTTGTTCTTTTTTCTTTTTCTTGAAGAAATGGTCTTACATAGCCTAGGTTGACATGAGACTCACTGTGTAGACAAGAATGAATTTCTGATCCTTCTACTTTCAACATTCCCGTGATAGGGTCACAGGCGTACACCACCCTGGGGTGCTGGGGCTCAAACCCTGGGCTTCATGCATGCCAGGCAAGCAGCTGAGCCCAGATACCACTTTCTTTCTTTCTTTTTCTGTATTGTTTCGGAGGCTGTCCTGGAACTCACTCTGTAGACCAGGCTGGCCTCAAACTCACAGAGATCTGCCTGCCTCTGCCTCCCGAGTGCTGGGATTAAAGGTGTGCGCCACCACCGCCCAGCTCAGATACCACTTTCATAAAGATACCTTGAGCACTGCTTCTCATCACTCATCACACTTAAATTATTGGGTCGAGGTTTCTTTTTTAGACTGTGAGGGCGGGCATTAATTCTTAACTTGCTATAGCACCAGGACTTAACACTGCAATTGGTCCAGGAAAGATGTTACACCAATATTCATGGACTAGGAGGAAAAGGAAGGGAGTGAGCCAGTAAGAACAACTAAGCTATCTTCGGGTAAAGCACAAGAGTCACGTGATGCTGGCCACCCTTCAGCTACAGCACAGGACAGAGGGATTTCTGTGGCAGGCCTGGGCCCTAACCACCTCTCACCATTTCTGTCCACAGAAAGTGTGCTTGGATTCCAGGTGTGCACTGACTCGTTTGTAAGTCGACTTTTCGTCCTGTGACGACGGCACTACTCATGCAGACTTACTTGCTCACTGCTTCAGGAGGAGGTGTCCAGCTGTTTGACACTGTGACATGATGCTGTCATGTATAAACACATTGGACTACATTCAAACTATCCTGGGCCACATGTAACCCTTGGGGCCCAGGTTGGGGCAGGCCTACTAGACCATCAGAGGCGCTTTTATCTCAGTTGTCTAAACTGGTCCCTGGACAGGTCTGTGTGGTCCCTATCCCAAGTCAGCATGGATCTACCTAGTGTTCACACTGTAGCCTTACGTAAGGCGCTGGGAGCCAGGTGAAGGGCTCTTGTTTTCTGTTCCCAGAAGGGTTCCTAACCCATTTTCCTTATGAGTTTCAGGGAGTTGCCTGCAGGTGCCCCTGCACTGCCCCCCCATCTCACCCCTCCCCCTCCCCTTCCCCCTACCCTGGGTGGCTGAACATCTGGATGCCTTTCATGTAGAGTCAGCACAGTGGGAAAGTAAGAAGGAAACCGCGTCTGGGGTTTAGCTTTCTAAAAATCTTGACTACATCTTATCTACCCTTCCGCATTCTATGATAAGCCTAGAACAAAAGCAACACCTGTGTCACTGGGGTCAAGAGGCTCCCAGGTAGACAAGGGGGTGTAGGAAGAGCTCAGGGTGTGCTGCCCATTGTTGATACTGAAGTCCCGAGGTCAAGGAAAGAAGTTCCCCAAGTGAACACAGTCCTCGAGGTGCCGAGTGAAGCAAGCCCGACTTCCTTCCTTCTCTAGGCCTTTGAGTAACTTCAGGGAGTCGAAACTACTGAAGGCCCCTCGAGCTTCTTCAAACCACACGCTAGGGTCTTGCTCTGATGGCCGGGCTCCTTCGGTGGTTTTTTATCCCCTGGCCAGTGGCTGGGGCCTGCAGACAGATTTTTGGATGATCCCTGCACTGTTGAACTTCACCAAGAGCCCTCACGGATCTGGGAGGCCTGGCTGCAGGTTCAGAAACCCCAGAGGTGTACAGAGCAACTGCAGCTAACTCTGAGCTGGCAGCCTCCTCAGCCCCACAGTGTGGTCCTGAGCTTCTGTTCACAGGGTGGGGCTGCCTGGTGCCTCAGGAGAGCAGCTCTGCACACAGACGACATCGGGAAGGATTCCCTAAGACCTCAGGTCCACAGTGGGCGAGAGGTGAGCCATGAATGGGAAGACGGCAGAGGGAAGGGAGCGATGGATGAGCCTGGGTCACAGAAGCAGATGGTGCCTTCACTGTCTGGTCATGTGGCAGCAGCAGCTTCCTCCCCACCTGGCTTGGGAGTCAGGAAGGCATGGAGTCCTCTACAGCTTCTAATCTGGAGTTAGTTCCCCACACTGTCCAGGTGCCTACTCAGCTGTCTGACCTCATGAAATGACTCAGTTTTCCTCTTCTGTAAAGAAAATAGTAAAATGCATACTGTGTGCGTGTGCATGTGTGTGTGTGTGTGTGTGTGTGTGTGTGTGTGTGTGTGTGTGTGTGTGTGTGACACGTGCGCTGGTTCAGGCTCTTGTGAATGTGTGTGGAGACCAGAGGTTAACACGGCTGTTTCCTCTATTGCTCTCTTTTTTAAAGACAAGGCCTCTCGGTGAACTTGGAGCTCAGCCATCCAGCTAGACTGGTCTACTAGGAAGCCTCCAGGATCCTCCTGTCTCCTCAGCGCTGGAATCTTAGCATGCACTATCACACCAAGGATTTGTGTTGTTATTTTTGTGGGTGCTGCGGATATGAAGACAAATCTTCATGCTTGCACAGAAAACACTTTATCTACTGAGCCAGCTTCCCTAGCCTTGTTTTTTTTGAGACAAAGAGCCTTACTCTACAGCCCAGACTGGCCTAGAAATGATTACACAGCCCAGACTGGCCTTGAATTCATAGCATCTCTCCTGCCTCTAGCCAAATGCTCCAATTACACAATAAACAACCATGCCATATTTCCTTGGGTGATTTATAGGAGAATTTAGAAATTTAGACTCTTCATACAGCCAATAACTGAATTTTCTGTTTATGTTGGGATGCTTTTGAGTACAAATGATTCAGCAGTGAAATCCCCAATATCCCCACACACATTAATTCCTATTGCAAACATGTAATAGGTCAAATGTATGGCCTGTCAAACATGGAAGATGACTTCAGAGATCTAATAAAGCAGAGAAAAGTGGTTGGAGCTTTCCATGGGAAAACTGGCAAGAAAGGGGGAAACCTGAAGGAAGATTAAATAAGGAGACACAAGGGACTGAAAGCATTGTGACAATGCTGGCATTAGACAGATAAGAGATGCGTCGTTACCACAGCAACAGCTGTCAAATTATTCAGCTATTTTCTAGTTGCTCAAGAAAACAGCTTATAAAAGAGTCAGCAGGCCAGGTGGCAATGGTGCACACACCTTTAATCCCAGCACTCAGGAGGCAGAGGCAGGTGGATCCCTGTGAGTTCAAGGCTAGCCTGGTCTACAGAGCTACACAAAGAAACCCTGTCTCAAGCTTAGAGAGAGAGAGAGAGAGAGAGAGAGAGAGAGAGAGAGAGAGAGAGAGAGAGAGAGAGAGAGAATGAGAGGGGGGAGAGAGAGAGGAAGAGAGAGAGAGAGGGAGAGAAAGAGAGAGAGAGAGAATGAGGGGGGAGAGAGAGAGAGAGAGAGGGAGAGAAAGAGAGAGAGAGGGAGAGAAAGAGAGAGAGAGGGAGAGAAAGAGAGAGAGAGAAAGAGAGAGAGAGAGAGAATGAGAGAGGGGGGAGAGAGAGCGAGAGATCACCAGCAGAGACTATTCTACCACAAGGTTTATTACTAGTTCCATGACTAAGATTTGTTGAGCAGAGCGCTAGCTTCAAGGGTTAAAGAAACCTACTTAAAAAAAATAGTGCTGGTTGTGAACAATAGTCTCTTTAAAATCCCAACTGTTTTTAGTTTTTAAAAGTTACTACCAAACTTACAGATTGAGAGTTCTTGCTAATTTCTTTTCCAAAACTTTGTAAAACTACCTAAAAAGATGACTAGGAATACAGCTCAGTAGGAAAGCACATGCCAATCGAATATGAAGTGCTGGGTGGAGTCCCTAGCACTGCAGAGACAAAAAAGCAAATGAATTAATAGTTAAAACAAAGTAATTCAATGTGAAATTCAACCCAGTTCAAAAAATATTAAGAAGATAGACAAGGTGACACTCATCTGAAATCCCAAAGTTTGACACAATATGTTATTTTTACTACAAGGTTAGTAGATGGTTAATTAGAATTTCTTCTTCTTAACTGTTATGACTGTTGGAGGGTGAGTGCTTTTCAGCAGTGAAGAGTGCTTGCTGCCCCTCAAAAGACCATATTTTGTTCCCAGCATACATACTGGGTAACCCACAAATCTGTAACTCCAACTCCAAGGGATCAGACGTCCTCTTCTGGCCTAGGTGGGCACCAGCACTCATGTGCACATACCCACACACAGACATGGACACACACGTAAATAAAGAATAGAAATCTTGCTAAGAATTGTGACTATTGGTAACTACTCACTCGATGGAAACGATGACGGCGTTCAGCTCCTCGGCCATTGATGTGCACAGCTCGTCATAGTAGCTGATCTCTGAGAGAAAGGAAGGATCACTACAAAAGTGGTTGTTCAGGTTGTCCACAACGACACGTTTCTGAGTACAGACTGTTTTTAAACTAAGATAAAGATAGCACCAAACACTGAAAACTGCATGTCAGCCAGGGGGCACCTGCTTCTAATCTCAGCACCTGAGAGGCAGAGGCAAGAGGGTCAGGAGTTCAAGGCTAGCATGGAGCTTACCCAGGGATACATGAGACTGTGTCAAACACCCAGAGGAGGAGAAAGGGAAGGGAAAGGAAGGCGGGAGGAAGGAGATGGGAAGGGACAGAGGGAGGACATGGGGGAAGATTCGAGAGTGAGGGAAGAAATGAAAGGTAAGCAAACAGAGACACATTCAAATGCAAAAATCAAATCTAGTTTCTGATAAAATGTAATTACTATAACTAACAGGAAATCAGTATTAGGCTAGTTTTGAATATGTTTTTAACTTACTAAACATTTATTTCAAAATAGGTTATATGAAATATACCAAATTAATTCTGATTTTGAAGCTCTTCAAACATACCCTTTCAAAGCAAATCACAGCAAATTGGCAGTTTCCTTCTCCAAATTATAAGACTTTGCACTTTTAACACCCTCATTTGCTGTGATTCAGGCAACTGGCAATGTGAAGAATATGGAAATTTCTTTAAGCCAACACAAAAGAAATACAATTTTAGGTGGTTTTCGCATTTCCTAGAAAGGGGACTCAAATGCCCATAAGAACAAAAGTCATTTTAATAGGTAAGAATGGATTCCTTCTAATTGTTCTTTCAGTATATTAAATCTCAGCAGACAGGGACACAGCTCAATTGGTAGAGCACTTGCCTCGCACCCATGAAGCTTTGGTTTGATCCTAACCCCACATAAGCTGGGGGGGAGGCACATACCTGTAATCCCTGCATTTAGAGGTGAGAGTCATTCTCAGCCACATAGGGGAGCTAGCCTAGAGTACATGAGACCCTGTCTCAAAACAAACAAGTAAACAACAAAAAAGACTTACTGTCTCAGCAGAGTGCCTAATATTCCTTTCTGTATGGGTTCGCAAGGCAGCCCTAGAGCCAGCAGGCTAAGGAGTGCGTGCCCGCCTGTACACACTCTCCAGCCTAGCTCCCCCTTGGGTACACCAGCCAAAGTCAAGGAGCAGTGGCCAGACTGACTCTCATGACCACACTCTTCTGCCACCCATGCTCCCTGTCTTGGACAATTGGCATCGCCCCTGACAAGTGTCCAGTGCCATAGACTCAGATGCCCTTTCTAACACAGATGCCCTATCTTACTCATTTTTGGATCTCTTCTCTAGCACACATAAGAGTGACTGTAACAGTTAACACTGGCTGTTAATTTTATGGGATATAGAATCACCTCTGGGCATGTCTGTGACAAGTTTCTAGACTTTTTAATGGGGCAAGGAAGGCACATCTTGACTGTGGGTGGCACTATTCCCTTAGCCCGGCTCCTGGACTGAAAAAAACAACTAACACTTCATGCAGTGACAGTTCACCTTATGTTCCTGCCCAGGACCTTCCTGCCACAATGGCCTCCCCCCTCCCTCCCTCCCCCTCCCTCCCTCCCTCTCCCTCCCCCTCTCCCTCTCTCCCTTCCTCCCCCTCTCCCTCCCTCCCTTCCAAATTGCTTCTTGTTCGGTACTTTTTCAAAGCAGTAAAAAGCAACTGATACAGTGATCCATGGTGCAGTCTGTCCACGGTGTATCTGCACTAAAAATCGCAACACATTTACATATACAGTGAGCATGTGCTGAAACTGGGAACAAAACAATGAGTAACAGAATAAATGATGGGTGTGGAGCAAAACGAAATGGAGTTGTGGAAGAAAGTTGTACAGTCTTTTTATTTTCTGCATTAAACATTTATACAGCACTATAATAAAGAATAGACCAAGTTTGAGTTGCTTTTCTTTCTGTTCTGTTAGAATCACATTTTCACGTGTGTGTGTCTGTGTGGGATACACATGTGCCATGATGCACACATAGAGGTCAGAGGACAACTTCCGGGAGTCACTTCTCTCCCTTCACTAGGTGGGTCCCACGGGTGGACTCAGTCACCAGGCTTAGTGCCAGCACCTGTGATGTCTGCTGGGCCAACCTGTCACTGCTTTTCAGTATAGAGAACATCCAAAGCTCTGGCCTGAGGACTAGGAAGGAGGTCACCAGAGGCATGGCGCTTGAGATTGGCTCCTTCCTGTCTTCTTCCAACCCACTCTGCTCACAAGAGATGTCCAAATCCACAGGAAATAGCCCTGACTTGAGAATGCTGCTTTCTTTTAATGGCTGCATACTTGTGGTATTTTAATCTTTGGTTTCATAACCTGATGCTGATGAATTACGGTGTATTATAAAGCAACACCTGCCCTATTTCATAAAAGGAAGCCTTCAAAATAAAAGTTGCCCAGAGTTACAGACAATTACCTCCTATTCTGACCCAATGGAAGTTTACCTTATTTTGATACAGAAAGCTAGTTATCAACGGATCACAGTATGTCTAGGATTTAGATCACAGAACTTTTATGTATTTTAGAGACAGGGTCCCTAGCCTAGGCTGGCCTCCGACTTACTACTATGTAACTGAAGAAGACTTTGAACACCAGATTCCCCTGTCTCCAACCCTTTAGTACTGAGATTACAATTTTGGTGACAGCACCTCTGGTTTATGTAGTGCTGAGGATCGAACCACGAGCTTCTGGGACGCAAACCCAAGTTTGTGCATGCTAGACAACACGCTGCCACCTAAACTATGTTCCTATCTCAGAAAATACTTACAAAGCAATCTGCCAGCACTAAAAAGGAAATCAATGATGGGGCTGCAGCTCAGTGGTAGAGCCATCAACTCACAGCATGATGCATGACTTTCAATAGCTAGTACTGCAAATATGAAGGATGGGAGGGAGGGAGGGAGGGAGGGAGGGAGGGAGGGAGGGAGGGAGGGAGGGAGGGAGGGAGGGAGGAAGGCTGGGAGGGAGGCAAGGAGGAAGGCTGGGAGGGAGGGAGGGAGGGAGGGAGGGAGGGAGGGAGGAAGGCTGGGAGGGAGGAAGGCTGGGAGGGAGGGAGGGGAGAAGAAAGATGGGAGAAGGGAAGGACCAACAAGCCAAACCTCTCTATACCACAATCATATAAATGAAAAGAGGCTCTGCTGATGTGTCCACAGTGACAGGAGAAACCAGGATGGTCCAGGAGAAGCAGTCCCATTTTTAAAAGGTAATCACACTTCCTCCCAGAGCCAAGCACCCTGACCCACCTGAAGGTGACAGGGACTTACTTGCACTTGCCAAGGCCCAGCCTCCTCCGTGGATATAGACCACGCTGCGTCGCAGTTGCTCATCGGGTTTTGGAGAGCCTTCAAACACTCGGACTTCCACCCCATCAAAGTCAGTGTCTGTCACCTTCACCTTCGGAGAAGAGCTTGCGCTTTTCTTGCCAAAAGAAACGATGATGAAATTCAGCGCTATCAGGTGGTGGCTCAACCCCAGGGTGTGTATCAGGTTACTCTGCAGGGTTGTGGGGGAAGAAAAAGGAACCGGTGTTAACTGTTGGTACCAGAGTGACCCCAACAAAACCATGCTCACCAACCCTACCTTTGGGGTTGGATTTTTTGTTGTTGTTATTGTTTTTTCTTTGTTGTTTTTTTGTTTTGTTTTGTTTTGTTTTGTTTTTGGTTTTTACGAGACAGGGTTTCTCTGTATTGTTTTGGAGGCTATCGGTCCAGCCCGGCCTTGAACTCACAGAGATCCTCCTGCCTCTGCCTCCCGAGTGCTGGGATTAAAGGCGTGTGCCACCACCGCCCGGCTGTTGTTATTGTTTTGATAGTTAAAAGTGAGGAGCAAGACGGAGCTAGAAGGAGAGGAAGAAACCATCTCACTATGCGGCCCTGGAGGCCCTGAAACTTGCTCTGTAGACCAGGGTGGCCTTGAACACACAGAGATCTGTGGGCCTTTGCCAACTGAGTGCTGAGATTAAAGGCAAGCATGCACAAACAATCTGGCTTCTTTTACATCTTGATTTACTCCATATTCTAGGCTGACTACTTGTGGACAGTTAAGTTCTTACAAACAACTGCTCCTGGACTGGAGAGGTCACTGGACACTTAGAACATGATAACAAACTGCATTCCCCTTTGGGTCTTAGAGCTAACCGCATTTTCTCCCCCTCTCCCACACCCTCCTGTCTTAAGAGTAGTATTTACACAGAACCTATACATATGCTCCCAGAGTTTAATGTTCATTTTAGCTGTGCTGGGTATCAAACCCAGGGTCTTGAGAATGCCAGACACCTGTTCTACCACCAAGTCACAGCCACAGCCCTAGCCCTGACAATACGTTTTCAGTCCCCTTTAAAACTCTTCTTTGAACCCAAAGTGCTGCCCAATCTATCAAATTGGGCGTCTGGGCGTCACCACCATAAACAATATGTGATGGAGAGGTGGGAAGGATAGAAAAACAAAAACAGAGTAGTGCATGCGCCAGTCAGAGAGGCAGAACTGGGGGCGTGATGTGGGTGACAGGTGAGAGAGAGGGCTGGTAGACATGCTGTCATTGCCCAGCATGGTTGTCCAGATGGTTGCAACAGCCTGGGGTTTATGCGGATGCAGCCCAAACCTCAGAATCTGCCGCCTGGCTATGGGATCCCCCTGGTCTGGGCAACGACAGAGGCCCAGGATGAGGAAAGGTTCACTGCCTGGAGTGGACCTCCTCGAAGGACCACGGTAGTGTGAGATACCACTGGAGGCCATGTTGGTGTCTGTGGTCCATGCTGCTGCCCCAGACTGTGTAGAAGCCTGAGATCCACGTGGACATATGCAGTCTGTGCTGCTGACTGATGACGTGGTGATGTCCTCAGTCTTTACTGCCTTGGGGGGACAGTGACCAGCATGTGTAGCCACCTGAGGTCATGCTGAGGCCCATGACGCACACAGCTCCTGAGGGTCATGAGTGGGCTGGTGACCCATATATAGCTAAGGGCCATGTGCCACATATGTCAGGTTAAAGTCCGTGGGAGAGCTGCTCCCTTTCCAGCCACAGGATGGCTTTCCTCAGCTGATGGTTTCCGGACAGATGCAGCAGAGAAAGACTTCTTCCCTGGGGACACGGTGGCCACTAGGATTCTGACCATGCTCTAATGAGTGTTTGGACAACACAAAACAGACTTGCTTTTTCCTTTTTCTTGTTTTGTGTGTGGGGATGGGGGGAGGTCATGGAAGACTGGGAGGTGAGCATGATCAGGGAGCATGACATGAGATTTCCAAATAATCCATTAAAAAAAACAACTCTTTTCTGGAGACAGGGTCTCACTAAATTGTCCAGGCTAGCCTTGAACTCATTGTGTATGTAGTCCACTCTGGAGGAGCTGGAATTCCAGACCTGCACCACCAGGCCCAACTGCTGCTTTCTAAATGACTGTAATAGGGTTATTTTCTAAAACCAGTCTAACTTTCCAAATAAACACACTGCAGTCTCAAGAAAATGCCAACAATACTTTAGTGTAAATGAAAGAGTTCAAAGTTTTATGTTACATTAAGCATTTTTAAAGTGTTCTAAAGCTTCTACATTTAGATGTGTCTGGTCTTTTTAAAAGTGGGAGAAGCCACGAACACCTGAGAAAGGAGGAACGGCATAACCAGGAAAGGTTAGAGAGTATGCAAGCTGGACACAGGGCAAGTCCCTTAGGACGTAAAAGGGTTGGTGCAAATAAGAAGCAGCCCACACTACACAGTGTTCCTGGCTAGCCTGGGCTATACAGTAAAACCTTGTCTCAAAAACAAACAAACAAAACGACATCTGTGTTGAGGCCTCATAGAAAGTACAGTTAGAGAAGAATCCTCATCACCCAACAGCAAAGACCTTTTGGAGTTTATTCTTCTCTCTCTACTCTTACAAGATCCTCAGCAAAGGGGACTGGGGAGATGGCTCATGGACCAAGAGTACAGCTACACAATCATGAACATCAGAGTTCAGACCCCAGAACTCACGGAATAAGCCTGGCATCCTGTAAATTCCCATAGCCCTCACTCTGAGGGATCAGACGCCCTCTTCTGCAATGCACCTTCCCCGTACTCACCCCCCCCATACGCACTTACACAGAAACACAAATAAATAAATACTATTTTATTTATTTATTTATTTATTTATTTATTTATTTATTTATTTATTTATTGGTTTTTCGAGACAGGGTTTTTCTCTGTGGCTTTGGAGGCTGTCCTGGAACTAGCTCTCATAGACCAGACTGGTCTCGAACTCACAAAGATCCCCCTGGCTCTGCCTCCCGAGTGCTGGGATTAAAGGTGTGCCCCACCAACGCCTGGCTATAAATACTATTTTTAAAAAAAGGTTTTTCAGCAAAGGGCACAGCTGGCCAGGACTGTGCTTTATTGTAGACTATGAAACCAGGATCTGACTCCAGCAACAAGTAAGTCACCACTGCAGGCGGGCCACACTCACCCCTGAACCACCGACCCCAGGGAGGTGTCTTTACAGATGAGATGGTTCACGTGACAAGTTAGCTTCCTCTGGAGCGTGTGCTGAGTCACAATCACTTGACTCAGTTTACTCAGTCAGCCCAGTGTTGAAAAGCACTGCATTAGAAGCTCACCAGCCAGTTTTCGTGAGAAATAAGCCAGGAGGTGACTGAGCTAACAACAAACAGCATTTGGGGAATCTCCACTTGCCAGAAGCAACAGGAAAATGAATATTGATAAGATAATTCAAATTCTACATATGATCTGACATAACTGTCCAACTTACTGCAGACTTAATGTAATTATTAATAGCTATCATGTTAAATAAATGGAAGGCCAGCAGGATGGCTCTGTGGGTAATGGCACTCGCCTCGAGCATGACACTCTGAGTGTGATCCCTGTGCCCACATGAAAAGGGGAACTGACTCCTGAAAGTTGCCCTTCGACCTACTCATGGTTGTCATGGCATACGTGCACACAAGTGCTTAATTAAATAAATCTAAATACATAAATGAGGAAACAAGTATAGGAGCACGGAGGGGTGTGTGTGTGTGTGTGTGTGTGTGCACTCACAATCCTAAATTTTAATTCTTTGGCAAATTAGAAAATGGCATTAGAAAAAAAAAAGAAAATGGCATTAGGCATTAGTGAAAACCCGTCTGGCTGGGTACACTGATCAGGGCATCACTGTACTCATGGAGATTAGAGCAGGCACAACAAGCTGTTCCAACACGTGTCTCAGTTTACCCAGGCCGTTCCAGAAGCAGTTGTGCTTCTTACTTGGCATTCAGTACATTAGCTGAGTTTCTGAAAGACGGACAGTGTGCTTTGTTTACAGCAGCGGCTGGGCGTGGGGAGTGGGGTGGCACTGAGAACAGACTGTTTGTGAAGGAAGGAAGGCAAGAGGGGAGGAAGTGGGTGGCAGAGAAAGAACCCAGAAAGCTCCTGAAGGACGGGTGATGTTAGAGACGAAAACAAAGCAGCTACCCTACCGCCGGGTGGGAGAGTGTAAGCCTTTAGTCCCCGCACCTGTGGGCAGAGGGGGCTCCTGAAGGGCTCAGTGTCACGCTCAGCTACACAGTGAGGTCAAGACCAGCCTGCGATATGGGAGTTCCTGTCTCAGCGAACTAAATCAGCTATCCTGTGGTCAGTGGAAACAGGGCCTGGGGATGCAGCTCAGTTAGGGTAGTGCTTACCCGTCATGTACAAAGCCCTGGGTTCAGTCCTCAGCACTACATAAGCCAGGTGTGGGGATGCATATCTGTAATCCAGTAGAAGTCACGGAGGCAGGAGGCTTGGCAGCTCAAGGTCATCCTTGGCTAAGTAATAGGTTTGAGGCTAGCCTTGTGCTATACAAGATCCTGACTCAAAATGTGTCTACTTCCCTGGGTCTGACGGCCAAAGAACGAACTACAGAATACAGTAAGACACTGTATTCTGCTTGTTACTATATAAATTTTGGTGGGGTATGGTTTTTTGTTTTGTTTTGTTTTTTCAAGATGGGGTTTCTCTGTGTAACAGCTCTCGCTGTCCTGGAACTCACTCTGTAGACCAGACTCACAGAGATCCGCCTGACTCTGCCTCCCAAGTGCTGGGATTAAAGGCATGCGCCACCACCGCCCTGCCCTTGTTTTTGGTTTTTAATTGGACCAATCTCTGGTGACTAATTCAATGCAGAAATCATGGGCAATTCTATGGGTATGGAGAGCTTTGAGGGGAAGGAAGAGGCAGTCTTCTGAAGTTAAGAGGAAGCCAGATGGTGGTGGCTCATGACTTTTAACCACAGCATTTGGGAGGCATAGGCAGACAGATCTCTGTAAGTTTGAGTTCCAGAATAGCCAAGGCTACACAGAGAAACCCTGACTCAAAACAAAGCAAAACAATACAAAAAGCAGTAGAGGATGCTCGATGAGACAGTACATTCCTGTATTCCTTGTACTCAGGCTGAGGCAGGAGGACCACCAAGAGTATGAGGCTACACTGGGTTAAACAATGAAGGTGGGGCCAGTCATTCGGAGATTGAGACCAGAGGATTAC